AGAGTTAGACTAAGGTGTTAAAAACATGAACGCACAGCGAGGAGAGAAGTCTTAGTTTTGTTTTTACTAAAAGAAAATAGGGGGTGCTAAAAGCTAGCCAAAACAGCATAGTATGTATTTAAACTACCAACCCACGCAGACTGTTTTGTCTTTAGTCCAGGTTCAGATCCAAGATGTGTGAGCTGCTGCTTAAAAGTGCCACATTTTTCTGTTGGAATTGAAATGCTCTTTTGATTAATTCAATTCAATTCAAGTTTATTTATATAGCGCCAAATCACGACAAGAGTCGTCTCAAGGCACTTTCCATAATAAACATTCCAATTCAGGTCAGTTCATTAAGCCAATCAGAAAAAATGTTTCCTATATAAGGAACCCAGCAGATTGCATAAAGTCACTGACTAGTGTCAGTGACTATACAGCAATCCTCATACTAAACAAGCATTTAGCGACAGTGGAGAGGAAAACTCCCTTTTAACAGGAAGAAACCTCCAGAGGATCCTGGCTCAGTATAAGCAGCCATCCTCCACGACTCACTGGGGATAATGGGGATTAGTAGCTAAACATCGCTGTCTTGTTTTTGGACCCGCTAGCATCATTCTCCATCATGATGTCAACGTTCCCCCGCTCCAACGCACCTGGTTGTGTGTCTTCAAGTTCTGCAAAAACCTGTTTACCATGAATTGATTGAAACCAGGATCAGCAGAGTCCTGCTGTCGTCTTTGTATTTGCAATAATTTTCATTTTAATGTAAGACACGACTCCATGTATTAGTGTGAGTGTTACGGCTACCAGCCTGGCAATTGGGATGCAGAAGCCAGGATCACCGTAACAGTGAGTGTGAACTGGTGTCTGAATGTGCTGCCCCTGTAACGGACAGCCAGCCCATCCTGATCTGAGCTCTTTTCTGTTTAAAAGGGCAGCTGGAAGAAGCTCAAACTCCTTGACTTCCTTCTGATAAAGCCACCAGATGGGAGGTCAGACATCAGACTCTCCTTTTGATAAATAAATTTTATTTTTATCACATCTTTACAACGCTTCAGAGAAAAGGGACTCTGGAGTTGCTCCAAGAGGCAAACTTCCGTCATCTCTGTGATGTCACTTAGATAACATTGATTGGTATTGTGCCGTGTTTCTGATAAAAGACAGGGAGACAACGCAGGATTTTTGGACACACTTCCTTGTCCTATCTCATCTTATTGACAGATGAGTAACCAGATTTTCTATCAGCCGTCGTTTTGGCAGAAAGAGCAGAACGAGTCACTGAGGATCCTTATCACATCCTCAAAAGGACAGAATCTCACTACATGGTCAGAGGTACATCTTTGTGAGACGTTTATTGCCTTCACTACTGGATATTGTGTTCAAACATTCAGCGTTCATTTTTGCATTGAACTCAAGAACCTTGAAAGCTATAAATAGATAGAAATCCAGCAGCTGGTGATAAAATAAAGCTATTTTAATCGCCGTGCTGCTTTGAAACAAGATGGGTTTTATTTGATCTTGTTGAGAGATGAATTCACCTCACATGCATGCGCTAAATAACATGTTATGTTTGGATGGAAAACCCTTTTCCTGCCCTTTTATAACATAGACAGAATAGAAGATCAGAGCAGACTCACTCTGCAACAGGAAGGGGCTCAAATACTCATCCTATTGCATAGTTAACTTTGTTGCCTTTATGGTATGATGGACTTCTGCTTGCTTGGGTAACAGCATGAAATAGAAAATTACACAACACTTCTTTTGTGTTTGGAGCAAATCATAACGTATTTGTGCACATTTGAGGTTATTAGAGGGATGATTTGGTCTGAAAAGCATCATTGTCTTTCATAAAACCTAAATAGCATCTTGACTTTTTATAAAAAATGAATATCATCTTGAGTTGAGGAATACTTTAGTCAAATACAGACGGAAACGTGATGTTTTATCTTAAAGAACACTGCTAAATTTTCTGGAATATTATAAAAGCTAAATGCCTCAGCTCTGACCAAAACTTCAGCTCAGTATCTGAAAACCTGGATGAGTTAGAAAATGTTTTTGAGCTTCCGAAGGTGAGTTGGTTGTGGCGGCCATCTTGAATTGGATTAATTCCAAAAGTCAATTAGCTGTAAATGTTCATCCACTGGTGACTTTCTGACAATGTTATTAAAACACACCCAGTGGCTCATGATAGAGTTGGTTACCGGACAAACAAACGCAGACAAAAACACAACAAACAAGAAAAATCATCAAAAGAGAAATATTTTTGTATTCTCACTTTTGCACAAACCAGAGGCTGATCAACAGGTGGAGCACACGTGATTGCTGTGGTAGTGATTTTTCTCCCCATTCTCCACTAGCTGTGTGTTGGAGCACACACACATGAAGCTTAGAGCGGTGCACGCTGCCAGAATCGATGGCTCACCCGATGCAAACTGTATTCAGATGAGGACTGAGGCTCTTTCTCATCCTTAAGCATGAACACAGAGGAGGCCTGTTTCCAGGCAAACACAGAAGACGTCACGTCTCCGCTACTCCGCCGTACCATAAGTGCATCTCACTATTGACTGCTGTTGTGTAAATTGCTGAGCAATCTATTTGAAGCATCACTTTTTTGTGTCAGGGAGACACAGAGAAGCACTTCTATAGGCAGCAACAAAGGCTCGTGTTTCTGAGTGTGTTTCTGCACACAATGTTCATCTGCGTTAGGCTGCCTCAACATAAGCTTACATTCTCTCCTCAGTGAGACTGCACTGCATTCAGATACAGAAAAACAAACTGTCTAACAAACTCATCCTTCTGCCAGATCCAGACGACGCCAAGCAGCTGGAATTAACTCTGCAATCGCACACCAAATCTATCTTACTCTGGTCAGCTAATGCTATGACTCCTTGTCCAAGAAATTCTTCACCCAAGGCTTGGAAGGGCATCTGGAAATAAATCTAATCTCTTGCAATGACTTTAAAATTGCTGTAATCCTGAATGGCAGACGTCCAAAGGTCTTGTTGTTACTTGAATCGGGAAAGTAATTAAAACACTTTAGAAAACAGCTGGGTAAATGAGGGACGTGCTATAACAGAAACGATGATCACATGTGTTCTGTTTTCTCACATAGGTGAGTTAAACAAACAGCTCATGACAGATTTTAGACTGAAGCTTCAAACCAGAGAAGTGCACGCCTGGACGGTGACACTAATGGAGGCTGACATGCGTCACAGGACAGCGTCTCCTCACAGTATTACGTAAAAGCAGTGCTTGGGATGCAGCTGCACTGATGTGCCGGCAGGAAACAAATTATTACACAATTCAAAACGTCACACCAGAGCATGCTTTACTGATCAAGAGAATACCATGCACACAGCGCGATAGTCGACTTCTTAGCAGAGTAAATTCATTCACTCAAAGCAGAGGGTCGCCGGTCCTTGGGGGCACGCCGCATACCACAGGATGCATTAGCAGAGGTCAAGCTTACAAGATTCATAAAGTGACAGGCGGCCATCGGATTCCTCTGAGCCACAGCACGGCTCTGATTCACTCATGGAACACACTCACACCGAGATCATGGGGGAATGTGGTCAAAATGAATATTTGGGCCAATGGGACTGATGGTCTGAACTGCTCTTAAGTTGCCAATAAGGAGGTGGTTAGAGCTATGCAGAAATGACAAACAGCAGTCTCCATTCTCTAGAGGACATTTACACCCGCAGATGCAGACAGGGGTGCCTCCAGAAATTTTTGAGAGAGGTGGCCATGGCCACCCCTGGCCATCCCTTGAGGGCGCCCTTGGATGCAGAACCAGAGGGGGGGAAAAAATCACATGTGGAGATATTGCTTTACTTAATATTCTAACTCTCATTGTCCAGAATAAAATAATAAATGCCACCAATCCAGCTTTTAAACTTGCACCGTCTTTCCTTCAGACAGAAGGTTGAGCATTCTCTAAGATCAATGATTCTTTTTCTGACTTTAGGTAAATTATGTGTTTAGATTCATCTGAGTCAGAATAACAAATCTGAAGCAAGCGTAGGTGAGTATTTAAAAAGAACTTTCTAATCCAGCAAACTTTAACCTCTCATACAACTAAAAAGCATGAATATGTAGGTGTAATTAATACATTACTGATTATGATAATGGTGGATCTGTTTCTCTGTTTCTGGAAGCTTAACTGAAGTAACATCATATTAACTATGTGCTTTATAACAACCCATAATAGTAGTAATGCAGGAGCATATCGCTGATAAATAAACAAACATGAATGCTTCATTTCTTTGCCCTGCTCTTTTGGAAAATATGCAAAATTTGCGTTGTTTATAACTTTAGAGCAATGCTGGTGGCAATATAAGAATGATGCAATGTTTGACTATTTTCAGAGGTCCGTGTGACTTTTATTCAACACATGGGCTCTAACTGAACTTCTAAAGGTTTGATTTTTGTAAATGTATAAAAGCTTCCATGATACTCTCAGTAATCAGCCCTTCCTCTGTTCATTTTACTTATCATAACATTTAAAAAGATGAACAACTTTCCCAGATTTATGCAGGGTTATGCATCGCCTAAAGGACCACATTGGAGTTGTTGTTTATTTTTGTTTTTATAATTCTCTAATAAGTGTCCTTTATGACCCTTTTATATGATTTTAAAGGCTTCTAGGACCACCGGATGAATGCTAAGTCTTGAGTTTTTCTACATGCAAAAGGAGCATTCCGTTTCTAGTGAGCCTGGTGAGCCAGGACGCGCCCATATACCTCTCATCTTGGTACAACATGCAGCTGAGCATCAGTCAGCCCGCTGAGGTGACAGAACCGAACCTTCTGACCTGCTCAAACCAGTAACCCCTACTGCGAGACGCGTTTTAGTTCCAGCTCCAATTAAATTGTTTACTGCCGTCTGATGGTTAATCTGCAGGCTGCAGGAAGACAGAATCATCGGTTTGTGCAGCGCTGCTGCATCCGGACTGGACCGGTCTTTCAAACAAAACATTAAAACAACACTTATAAAAATATATTTTAAAACGAACGTACTATTTATGATGCACCTCGTGGACACAGGAGGGAAGTGCCTCCCAGGATGCGCGCCATCCTCCACGCAACGCTGTACTTAATGGTGCAGAATAATTTAACGTTACTATAATAAAAATCTGAGTTCCGTTAATTTCAATAACGATCCAGATTGATTTCTGCATTGCGGAAGGCTTGCCCTAAAGCTCCATGCCGCCCGCTCATCCCACTCAGTCTGTTGTAAACAACACTGATTTCCTTCAGCTGTCAGAAGGCACCGTCCGGTTTCTCCAGGAATGAACCCAGACACCTCCCTCCGCCCTCCACAGACGTCCTTACCTTCAGTCGGTCCGCTGCTGCGTCCTTCACGATGCTCGCGCTGCTCAGCTCCGCATCGCTGAGGAGCTGGGAGACTGATGGAGCCGCGGTCCGGATCGGATCGGATGGGCTTCTGCTGGCGACTTTGGGGGGCGCTAGACCTGCTTGTACCACATGATCAGGAGGCAGCGTTTCTCCTCCGAGGGATCATGTTCTCCCCAGAGATTAGCAGCATCCTCCTCAGCATACTGAAGTTTGCATGCATTCTGGAGGATGTAAAGTTTTATACCAAATCAGAAAGACAGAACACAATATGACCTCCCTTAGGTCAGAACTTTTCAGAAGTTCTATAAAAAACTCCTAAAAGATGAAATGATCTCTTTAAGGGTGTGAAAATGAGACACGGTTAATAACAAAGAACTATTTCTGAGTAAAATTATCAGTATACGTGAAAATCCCCACTGTGGGATCTTTAAATTTGTATTCTAATCTATTATCAACAACCTTGTAAAAAGTTTATTTGGTTGCATGTCAGTGTCCATGTGAGGAAAATAAATTATCAGAAAAAAGCGTTGAGAATAAAATAGAAATGTTGAGGAAAATAGTCAAACTAAAGTCACAGAGGAAGTATC